CCTACCGAGAGTCGCCGCTTGCTGCCCTCTTGCACCGTGCAGGGCCACCACCCCCTCACCCGTCTCTGCCGGAAAAGGGACAGCCGGGAGGGGGCCTGCGCCCCCCGCCAGGGCCAGGGGCTTTGGGGGGTCCCCTGCCCTATCGGGGTGCAGTTCTGGGGGTGCTGGGCCGGCTGCGGCAGCCTGGTGAGCTCCAGCTCCAGGACACCTGTGGGGAAAAGCCAAGGCTTTCTGTCACCCATGGGTGCTCCCCATCACTTGTGGGTGTCCCCCACCCTGTTGGGGGACACGGGGCAGGGAAATGGGGTCTCACCCAGAAAATCATCGGCCGAAAACTTATCGTTGTCCCACACTTGGAGGATGAGCTTGGGGGGCACCTTCAGCACCGTCTCATCCAGGCTCCAGAAATGCTCCTGCCATGGTAGGGAGGGGGAAAGAGAGGGGTGTCATCCTCGTCCCCTGTGTCCCCCCCACCCTGGCAACCTGGGGTGTCCCTCACCTTCCTGGGCAGGACGCAGAGCTGCTCGGCTGCCAAATACTCAAAGGAAAAGACAAAACGCCAGTTGAAGCCCCCGTCCCCCTGCAGCGAGCGGTAATGCACGTCCGTCCTCTGCCGCTGCTCCTCCAGCCCGTCCAGCCACCTGCCGTGCCACCCAGAGGAAGGGGACGCTGCCGTCACCCTTGTCCTCAGCCCCGCTGTCAACCCCCCCGGGGGGGAACGCAGCGGTGGCCTTGGCTCACCCAGTCACGTAGATATCACTCATCCGCTGTCCCGCCAAGTTGGTGTCCCCCAGGTCCACGTCCCGCGTGTTCCAGACCACGCAGCGCAGCTCGTACCTTGAGGGGGGGGACGGACCAAAAGGATTTGTCACCTTCTCCCCCGGGATGTCCCCGTCCCACCACCCAGGGCCTGGCTGGGCGCTCACCTCTGGGGCTTGCGGGGGGTGATGTCGACGGGGGGCCCGGGGGGCCCGAGGCTGGCGGGGAAGATGTCCACCCACATCTGCACCTTGCCCTGCACGGCACACGGGGGGGACTGGGACCGGCACCCCTTGGTCCCCGTGCCAGCGTTCCCCCCCATCCCAGGGTGTCCCCATCACCCTGGGGTCCCCATCACCCTGAGGTCCATCCCTGTCTGTGTCCTCATCACCCCAGGGTCTCCATCACCCCCTCCCCGTCCCCCCCCTCCACCCGACCTCGGGTGCCCCATCCCCACCTGCTCCAGCCCGGGCTGGGTGCTGCTGTAGAGGGTGCGGGTTTCGAGGTGCTCGGGGACGAGGCGACAGGCACGGAGTACGTGCAGGGCCAGGCGCTCGCGGGGCACCCCGAGATGCTGGTGCACGGGGGGGCCGCTCTCTGGAAGGCCGAACCGTCACACCCGCAGGACAGGATCTGGCTCCCCCCGCCCCGTGCCCCCACCCAGACCCTCACCCACCAAAGTGGCTGAGGAGGAAGGTGTGATCCCCGAAGGTGACCGTGGTGCCATCGGCGTTGAACTCGGGTGCCGGCAGCCCTCGAGTGCGGGCAAAATGCTCCAGTGCCCGGCTGGGGGGGAGCTGGTCCCTCCAGCGCCCAGGGCCGCTGCTGTGGGGATGGTGGGTGGGCTGGGGGCTGCGGCGTCACCCCTCCTGGGTGTCCCCTCCCTGGCCATTGCCCCCATCTCCCTGTGCCCACCCCATTCCCCTGTGCTCCATCCCTGTGCCAACCCATCTCCATCCCCGAGTGCCAACCTCATCCCCTTGTGCCCACCCCATCCCCGTCTCCCTGTCCCCATCGCTGTGCCCACCCTCATGCACCCACCCTGTCCCCATCTCCTTGTAAGCATCCCTGTGCCACCCCGTTCCCCCGTGCCCACCCCATAACCATCCCCCTGTGCCCATCCCCATCCTCACCTCGTGCCCACCTTGTCCCCAGCCCCGTGCCCACCCCCACGTACCCACCCCATCCCTCTGTGCCTACCCTACCCTAATCTGCTTGTGCCCACCCTGTCCCCATCTCTGTGCCCCCCCCACCTCCCCGCGCCCACTCCTGTCCCCCTCCACT